CCCGAAAGATGGCCCTTCTCAGGCCACACAGCAGGACAGAGCTTAGCCCACTACTTTGTTCATGTTCGTCTCCCACCTGGAATGATATCCCTCCCTCTTCCTCAGTGATTTTTTAAACCAGGAGTTCTCAACACTCAAGGGACTAAAGACACCTTTGAGAATAAAAGCTAACACTTGTGTTGTGTTACATATATTTTAAGGGCTTCCTTATTACCTGGTTAGATGTTACCCCATTTTACAGATGAGGAAACTGAGGCAAGAAGAGGTAAAACCCAAAACCTACTGCCATCAGGTCGATTCCAACTCACAGCGACCCTGTAGAACAGAGTAGGACTGCCCCTGTAGGGTTTCCGAGGCTGTAAATCTCTCTGGAAGCAGACTGCCACAGCTTCCATAGTCACTGGTGGGTGTGAACCACCGACCTTTCGGTTAGCAGCTGAACATTTATGCGCTGCGCCACCAGGGGTCCTCAAAAAAAAAAACAAAAAAAGAGGTAAAGTACCTCCAAAGTCACAAACAAATAGTAAGGGGCAAAACAGGGATTTGAAACCAGGCAGCCTGGCTCTAGAATCCTTGTATTTAACCATTGCTCTACCCTATTTCTCCAGACAATCTCATAAACACTATGAAACGTGTCCCAGCAAAACCATACAACAGAATATTACGTTTCATTTGCGGGGAGAGAGGGCTGTCACACATGCCTGATAGATGCATGGGACCCAGGACAAAAGCCCCACGTAAGCAGTGCTGGCTGGCTGCCTCCCCAGCAACTCCCCCTCCTCAACCTTTTCTAGCAGAGGCCTAACTCGGCTCAGGCATCCCTCCTCTTTCACAGAACCCAGTGCTCCACCAAGCTAATCACTGTCATCATTCTGCTCTGAACAAGTGATTGGTTCAAGAATGTACAGTGATAAAATTCTGACCAAAAAAACTCCAGAGGACTTCTTGCAAAGGTTCCCTGTCAGGAAAATGAAACCCACAGAAAGCAACACCATCTTCTTCTGCTGGATACTGGGTCTGCATGTGGAGCCTAGAAATGGGACTGCCCCCTCAAGACCATACCGGGGAGAACAAATAGAGAACAGAGCCAAGACGAGGAGGGCAAAGAGGCAGGATAAAGGAATCGGGCCCTGATTACTGCTCAAGACAGATGAGCCAAAGCTTTCCTGTACTTGCTACTGGAAGCATCCAAACCAGTAGGTCTTCAGTTCCAAACTGGTGCTGTTAGTTGCCATGGCATACTCTGCACACATGGGGTCGCCAGGAGTTCTAAACTAAATCCACTCCTTAAGTCTCAGCTCTAGCCTTACTCTATGAAATTACATTCATTCATTCAAATATTTATAATGTGCCTACTACGCATGAAAGCATTAGAGGTTTTCTCTAGCTCAACTATTCCAACAATGTTCCCTCCATTCTCTGTAAGACACGTAAGGGTCAGAATCACACAATCGAACACTTAATTGTTTCATATATGTCCGTTTTCTCTTACCAGCTAGACCAAGATCTCATAACAAGCAGGGCTCTAACCTTCTGTGGGGAAATTACGTACTAAAGATGAAATAAGTACCAAGTTGAAGCCTAGAGAGCTCTCCTTCACGTAAAGGACACAGGGCTCTTGATTGTTTGCTTGCTTATTTTTAAGGACAAAAAATGCAGAGCATGTTTGCCTTGGTTCGCACTTGTCAGCTGGGTTCTGGTCCGCTGATGCTGCTCCGTAAATGTCCCCCAGATTAGAGAGGTGCCATCATCTAAGAAGACACCGCAACCTGCTGCTGTGTACAGATGGCAGAGACCACATCCAATTCACCTCCGACCCACACTCGCCTCAGAGCCCAGTGAGGGCCTAGCGATACTGCAGGTACTCACTCAACAATTTCTGACCGAACTGACTGGGCACTGAGTACTCAAAAAACAGAAAAGATAACCAAAATATGCACATGTTTACCTTTTTCCATTTTTATCATGTAGACCAGACCCCCAATACTTAGGAACACCCAGGTACTTCAGTTTATGGGTACGAATCCATTTCTGAACTAAAAGTCAAAACAGATGCTTGTGACTTTCAATTCTATTACATATAATCGTAAAAAAGCATTCAGAGCATAAATGTACTTATACATATAATAAGATTTCACCTTTATTTATCCAGAAAAAAAGAAGTAAAGAGTGTGGTATAATCAATAAATGAAAAGTACTTTACAATCAAAGCACTGTTATTACCCAAAAATTCTGTTACCCTGCCCTTAAGTTAGCATTGTCTTTAAAATGATCAATCTGCAAAAAGCCTTAAAAAAAACCTTCAAAACCAGAGTCCTGCAGCTGCAATTAATATCTCTAATTATGTAAATGTCTACTTGCTTACCAAGGAAGATTTTTTACTCCAATCTAAAAGTCCTCAACCAGGAAATCAAGCTCTAGGAGAGACAGATGCCTTCCTGAGAGACTGCCAAGACCAACACCATCCTACCAGGAGGCTCCTTAGGTTCTCGGAGAAGAGGGGAGGGGAGAGGAGAGGAGGGTAAAGGAGGGCAGGGGAGGGGAAG